TTAAACTTTTAATTAATAAATTTTTGATTGCCGAATTTTTTAATTGTCAAATTTTTGATTGCTGAATTTTTGATTGCCGAATTTTTGATTATCGATTTTTTGATTGCCGAATTTTTGATTGCCGAATTTTTGATTGCTGAATTTTTGATTGCCGAATTTTTGATTGCCACTTTATTGCCGAAATGTAATATACCAAGTGGTAGCAATCGAAAAGAATTCGACAATATTTTTATTATTAAATTTAATCAAATTCAACAATAATTTAGCTGCCGAATGACATAATTTCGACTAGTGTCTACTTTTAGAACTATGGCAATTATCTAAATATTTCACTAACTTCAAACTATACTAGCAGATTCTGGGACCCTGTTTTTAGGATTTCAGTGATTTTTTAAATATTTTCTATTCCAAACTATACCAGCAAACTCTAGAACCTAACTATTCTAGCTTGAAATATTTCAATCTGATGCTTACTTAAATAAAGAATTTGTCAAGCAGAACTTATCTGTAATGTTACAGGTAATGACAAAGAGAATATAAATCCCCACTGAGGTTCAAGTGAACATATTAAAATATCTAAGTGATTAAATAATCCTCAAAAATTTATTACATATATATAAAGCTAATATATAATATAGTAATTAAAAATTACTATATATAGTTTTAAATTAGCTATATCAACATCATCATCAATAACTGTATATCAACTGTCTAGCTTTTAGATAGGTGTGCTCTCTCACTTGAGAGATTTCAAGTAGATCTGTCTAGAACAAACCATAATAAGTTATCATTAATCTGCATATATATGTATGAGATAATTAATATTATGCTTAAGATTTAATTATCAATAAAGAGTTTGCATTTAATATTAGATATGGTTTAAAAAATAAATAAATAAATAAAAATTTTAATTTACTTAACTGCATGAGAAATTAGGAGGATCAAATACTTATAACCATTACTATATTAATATTAAATTAATTCTTAATAAAAAGTTTCCATCTAATATTAGTTAAGATTTAAAAAAAATAAAATAAAAAAAAAAATCTATTTTTTTTTAATTATTTTTATTTTTATTTTAAAAATCTTTAATATTTTTTATTTCAATATTATAGTATATAATTTTAAGATCTTTTATTATATCTTGAATATTCTTTTTTAATGATATTTAAAAAATGATAAGAATATTGTATTGAAGATAATAGCTTTAATTTGATAACTAGAATTGTAAAAATATTATATTTTTAAATAGTTAAATTAAACATTTAAACTACATTTGTTATTTTTCTCACTATATATCTATTTTTATAATTGAAAGTTTATTAAAGATTGCTTATATGATTGCTTTACAAACCATTTTCAAATTTTGTTCATCTAATTTCTCTCTTTGCTTTCTTTTTTATTTGACTTATAAAAAGAAATTTTATTTTATTTTGAACTCGCAATCCAGGCTTCCTTGATAATCACACCATTGTTTTAGAATAGACTCTTTGATATTAATATTCTAATACCTTTTGTAAACTATTTTGATACTATATTGTTTTGTATACTGTAATTTAAACTAACTTAGTGAACTCCTTGATTTTTTTAAGTAATACAATTCTTTAACTAATAACATACAATAATAAGTTAGTGGTCATGCACAAGTCAAAGTAATATTGTAGATACTTATTTAATGTCTCAATAAAGACACGCTATGATGGCATGATTGAAAATTAAAAAAAACTATTATAGTGTGTATTGTTTAATTAAATAGAGAGTTATTTAAAATATTCCAAATATAATAAAATTCTTTCGAAATATTTTCATAAATAAATTTTAACACTCACTGAACTGTACACTTTGATTAGAATAAATTAATTGATGTTTATTAAACAGTAACACCACAAGTGTATCAATAGATTCTGAAATTTTAATTGACACGAACTTGACCTTAAAAAAATATTCATCCCACCCGATCCATTCAGGATTCTATGAAATATTTTAATCGTAATGTTCTTCTGCACTACCTAATATCATCCTCTTCTTTTTTTTCGCGCTTCACCTTACACGTTACACATGTGCACGTTCGATCGCTTTTCCCCTGATGTATCTTCCAACAACTTTTGCAAAATCTTCTAATTAATGAAATCGATTTTCCCACCTCCAAGTTAAAGTCGCTACTATCCACACACTCGACTATAACCGGCAAAAAAAATGGTGACGACGAAGAATTGAAATACCTGCAGAGTTCACACAAGTATCCTTGTTTGAGGAAACTCACAAGAACATCTGGTACTAATTGTTTTCTCTTACTCTGGTCGCTTTCCAAGAATTTTCGAGACTTTCTTTTGTGATTGACCAAAATGTTGTTGAGAATAATATCCTGCGCGCAAATATCCACTAATCGTGATACGACATTCTTGGGCGAATTTCCCGCGCCTTCATTTTCCATTAATTTATGTATTCTATGAACGTTGGACTTCCGAAGAGGGTTACTTCCAAGACCTATAATCAATAAGCGTGACGAAAACTTTGTAATAAACGGAGGAAAGTATTGAAATTGATTATGCGAGATGTCGAGGATTCTCAAATTTCTAAAAAGTAAAATCTCAGGAGGAAGATCTAAAAATTTCGATAAAATTTTTAATTAGAGGCTGGTTAGCTGTTCCCAAGGATAATTATCACCCGGAGGAAATGATATTTGTACCCGTTAATCGATTTCTCGACAAGTCCAAAAATGTCAGAGAATCGAATCCAATTTTAGTAGTAACATCCGAGACATTTGAAAACGAATAGTAATAATCAAGAATCACATGAATTTTCCTCACGAAATTTGGATACGTTTCTAGATTTAAATTACTTAAGGATAGGCAGTTGTGAGGTGGGATCATTAAAAATCTTTCAAAGGCGTCCATAGTCGTCTTTTCCTTAGGTAAGATTCGCAGGGGAGGAGAATACTGAGATAGAATTATAGTGTTGGCGAGTTAACAAAAGATTATACAAATCAGAAATACCAAGTTCGAAAAGGATCACGAAATTACATCACAATACTTTCTAACCACAGAGTTCCATGTTTCGGAAAGTTGCTGGGATTTCTGCTGAACAATCGTGCAGCATCTAGCTTCTATCGAGCTTATACTTTTCCTATATTTTTTATCTCGAGGAATTCTTTTTATGAATTCGTCAAGATCAATCAAAAAACGTGCTACAAGATAAAAAAGAAAAAGGTAAGTGAGGATTATGGGTTTGAAATAAAAGTGAACTCACAACTTACCAAGTACGGGTGAAAATATATCTAGAGATTTGTTGTTGTTTTTTAATGCTGAATCGAGTTTCTCAATTGCTAAAGGAAGGATGATTAACCCAAATCTCCACCACTTAATTTACCGACATTTAACTTACAACATAAAAGTTTTGACCAATCACGGGTATCCACAAACGTTGCCATAATTTCTCTCGAATCTGTTATTGGCAGCATCCATTTCTCGTATTTTTTGTGGCGAGATAGATGGTGTTTGCGGTCAAGTATATCTATCGAACATTGGGATAACCGACTTATTATTTCATTTGGTTCACTGCATTCTTCCTCTGAATTTTCCTCTAAATCGGAAGAGGAAAGAGAGTCTGAACCAGAGTGATCCATCAAAGATGTATGCAAGTGCGCACTGGGCATATGTTATACCAACTTATGCACGTCACAAATATTTATCTTCCCGATTTGTGTGACGATCGCGCTGGTGATGTTATCTCCAATTTTATACACTCGAGTTCCACCTTCACTGAAAGTTTTAAATCAACTTTTACTGCCTCATCAGACCATATATGATACGGTGACAACAATTCAACAAGGTTATGATCAGATAAAGCAAATGAAAGTTCGGGGTGCACCGGCGATAGGGCTGGTTGCGTCTCTTTCTTTAGCCGTAGATCTCCAGCTTAAACTACTTAATTCCACCGAAGACTCCCAAGTTACAACCATAATTTCTTCTCCGATAGAACTTAAGGCATTTATTAAGAAATCCCTGGACTATCTGAATACCTCGCGTCCAACTGCAGTAAATTTATCTCTTGCTTCCGAGAAATTGTGGAAGATTACTTGCAGGGGACTTGAAGAAAGCTTGGAATCAAAAGAAATTATCGAAAGATTGGTGGATGTAGCTGTCGAGATGTTGGAAGATGACTTAGAGGATAACAAAAACATTGGAAAATTTGGCGGAGAATTTATACTCGGAAAAATTGAAGAGGATAAAGGTGAAACAAAAATGATTAGTGTCCTTACACATTGCAATACCGGGTGAGCTAAATATTTTTATCAAAAGATTCCTCTTTCAAGCTATATACATACATATATATATATATATATATATATATATATTTTTTTTTTTCTAGTTCATTAGCCACCTCTGGTTACGGGACGGCACTTGGTATAATACGTTATCTACATTCGCAAAGGCATCTATCGCACGCTTATTGTACCGAAACGCGACCCTATAATCAAGGATCACGATTGACTGCTTATGAGCTTTTACATGATCAGATTCCAAGTACCTTGATCTGCGACTCGATGGTTTCCTCTTTATTATCATCATCCGTTTTGCCGCATCTCAAGTCATGCCAGGTAATCACAGAAAATTCGAACAAGATAACGGCAATTATAGTTGGCGCGGATAGGATTGCGAGGAATGGGGATACAGCCAATAAAATTGGCACGTACCAATTAGCTGTAATTGCAAAGCATCATGATGTAATGTTTATAGTTGCAGCGTCGTTCACGAGCATCGATTTGACAATAAAAAATGGTAAAGACATAGTTATAGAGGAGAGATCGGAGGATGAGGTGGTTCTTGTCAGCGGAGCTTCTGTGAATAACGGAGGTGGGTTTAAAGAAGCTGAATATGAGAGTGGCAAGATAATTATCAGCAAGGTTAGGGTACCACCAACTGGAGTTAAGGTTTGGAATCCGAGTTTTGATGTAACGCCTGCTAGGTTGATCACTGCCATTGTGACTGAGAAAGGTGTCTTTGAAAGGAGAGAAGGAATGAACGAATTCAACTTGGAAGAATTTTGCTAAAATAATTTATTAGGCGTTGACTGTAAAAATTTTTAAGTAAACGATACTAGGGTTATGATATTACACCACGTGGTAATATGAAATTTCTATTTAATCGTTACTATTGACATTGGAGTTAACGACGCGAAACTTATCTTTCCAGACGACAAATGGGATTATTTTGAATCATCGATAGATTAACCTTGTGACCGAGTAACTAGAAGAAAGTAGGTTAATAAAAGTTTTACAGATGAAAACATTCCAAAGGTGTGGCGCTCACCTCACGAATATTGTCAATTCCGTATTTTATCATGGTCGGTCGTTCTAAACTTAACCCCCACGCAATGACCCGTACTTCTGGCCCGAAACCCATCGGTTCCAACATCTCCGGACGGAACATACCGGAATTACCTACTTCTACCCACTTACCCAAACCTGATTCATAAAGATATGATGCGTATGTACAAAATTTGATTCTTGCACGATGGTTTATTAAACGCAGAAAATAAATGAATCTTACCGGGATGATAAGAGAAAATTTCCATGCTCGGCTCGGTGTATGGATTATAAGCTGGTTTGAACCGAAGGTTCTTCACTCCTGTTATCGAACCACAATAATAAATGTCTTTAAGTATGCACACATTTCGTGAAGTTTGATTAATACCAACCCATCTTGCCGAAGAACGTGTTCATAAAACCAATCAAATCGCCTAGCGTCAATCCCTTATCAGCAATTACACCCTCAACTTGATGAAACTCTGCCAGATGTGTAGCATCCACTGTCTCATTTCTGAAAACGCGGTCTATGGAAAAATATTTCACCGGTCTGAATTCTTTTTGCTGAGCAAGATCATACAACATAGTGGATGAAACCGCGGTGGTGTGGGTTCTCAAGATCATTTTTTGTGCCTCCTCGATTTTCCAATCATATCCATATCCAATAGACCCGTATCCCCCAACCGAGTGAACCTCTTTGACGCGTTCAAGATATTCTTCGGGAAATTGCGTACAAGTCGCGGGATCTGCAAACGATATGATTAAGTAATAATGTATTAATCAGTACTCCCCTTCGCTAAACAAATCAATGACACTGTTAAACATTTCACCTTTTAAGAAAAAAGTGTCGTGTGCGTCTCGCGCCGGATGTTGTTGAGGCTGGAAGAGCGCATCGAAATTCCAGAAGGATGATTCAACAAATCTATCCGTTGGCATTTCTTCAAACCTGATGACATCACGAATTTCTAAATATTAAATTCCATCATTTATTCGAGAGTCAGTCTTGAGGAAGAAAATTGGATACCCCATTTCAAAAAAAATCTGTCTAAATTCTTCGCGGACTTTCATCAGTGGGTGAAGGTGGCCACCGAGTGGAGGTATACCGAGAGCGTCAAAATTGTATTTTTTAAATTTCGCGTCTTGCCATTCACCGCTGAATACAAATTGATAACGATATATAAGAAAAAGAATTATTACTTAAAATGATACCAACTTACCTTTGAAGCATCTCGAATGTTATGTCACGAGCTTGTTTCTCTATTGTTAATGAGAATTGTGACCCCTTCGTGACAGAGTAGGAGACCTTCTTTCTGAAAATCACAATGATCGACCCGTAAAAAATTATTAAGATAATTGACGAGAGAGTTAAATTAAATCATTGATTCTTGAATACGGACTGTTTATCACAGAGCTTTCTCTTTTTCAATTCGGATAATACTTTATGATCCGAATGTGTGCCGGTCGACCTAATGATTTCGAGATCTATTCGCGTCTGATCTACAATGGAGTCAACCTTTATTATAAAAAAAAAAATGAACAAAGAATGGTCACTGTACAGTGCATAGGAAAAGGGAAGCGTCATGTGCTTATTCACAACGTACAACACGAATGAGATTGTTCCCATTTTTATTGATCCATTTATTCTTGAAGGCTTTTCCTTGACCGATTTTTGCTGATTCACCTAAAAGGTTCTACGAACGCGATGCGTCAATAACAAGGGAAAAGGCAATTTCACTTTCCAATTGTATGCGCGTACCTGCAAATCTTGAATTGATATCCCTTCTTCCCCAACGGGGATGGCATCGAAAACTTTGGCCTCGTGGCTTCCCTTATCTGCGATTTCCTCGCCTTCGTCAGTCAGCACCCAGATTTCTTCTTCAATAGGTTCGTATTGAACCATCTGTATAGAAGACTCGTGAGACTCCTTGATATAAAAATCCTCTTTTTTTTTTTTTTTTTGAATTACAAAGTAACCTCTTTATCGGCCAAGCTCAGACTCTTCAATGCGCCAAGCAGCGCTTGTTGATCCACCTCCTTGCCATCGGGAGTAATAAGCTCTTTTGTGTTCGAAACAGATCCTTTTTCCTCGAGTGTCGTGAGGAGAAGAGTTTGAAGTTCTTCGGTGGTGTTCATTGGTAATTCTTAAACTCAGTCTCGGAATTTCTAAACTGCGTCACGAAAAGTATTTTTTTAGTGATGTGGCTTGGAACAAAGAATATCGGTGTCAAGCCACAGATTTTAGTATAAGAGTTTTGTCATTGTTTCTCTTAACCAAAATTATTAATTCCTAGAATGGTTTGATTGCGCACAAATTTGTCTTCATACTTTCTGTCGGGAAAAGCTGATTTTATTGCCTTGTGATACAACTGGAGCCGAACCAATATTAGGGATTTGGACAGGCAATCAAAAAACAGCTTAGATTAAGATGCCAGATTATCCAATTGCTTTATGATAACTAAATATACAGCATATACTGTATATTTTATGTTATAATTTTTTTTAATAATTTTTTGTATTTTACACCTGATAAAAATTGGATATTTTTTAAATATATCGAATTACTAAAACTTCTTGAAACTTACATTTCTAATGTAAGGGATAGTGGTAATTAATTCTAAAGAAAAAAAGATGTTGCTTTGAAGAATAGTGGATAACCAAAAGAAGATAAGTTTTGATTATTGAAAATAATAAATTCTACAACCTCGTGATTCTAAGCCATGGGTCCAAATGATAATTTACTATCGCTATTAATTTTGATTATTTAAAGATGTGTCTTTTAGTAAAACCAAAAATATCACCGTTATCTACAATTTTATAAAGTGTCGGTAATTTCACGGTGAATCGTGATATTGTAAAAAGTTTTGGATTATGAGGTACACAGTCTACAAAAAACTGGTATCAGCACAAAATAGTCGGTAAAACGGATAAAAACTAAATATTAACTAAATTATTGAATATTAAATTATTACAAACGTTTTTTTTTTTTCTATTTCGTTTTAGTCTAATGCGCACATAACTCTCTACAATAGCAGATCGAATGGATCTTGCGACTTTTGACCTCCACTTGGATTCTGTTGCGCACCCGTCCAAGTACCTTTAACCGCCCAGGATGCAGATTCAGCTTGTGCAAGAGAATTCATTGATGGCTTCATGGGCTGCTTTGTGTTCTTCTCTTTTCCCAAAGAGTCCAAACTAACCAGGTTTGATGCTTGTGCCCAAATGTCATCCGATTTTAGGGCGGGAAAAGCTGTTTTGGAGCTAGAGGAATTCTGTATTTACAATAACGATTAGGCACCAAATAATTCTTAACATGAAAATTAATTGCATTGCAACCTACTTGTTTGGGTGGTGTTGTTGGAGAATTAATCTTTGAAGGATTAAGAAGTGTGGTTGATGGATTTGTCGAGTTCGGTACAATAGGTAAAGTCGTACTTTTAGACGCAACAGCTGGCGAAGGCCCAAGCAAATCGTCAAACAAGTTACTGTTATTAACTCCTGGTTTATTCACGATGGTACTGCTATTGGTGATGGGTGATACTTGTGAAATAGGGTTGATCTGGAGTCCGATTAAACCTGAAGAAGGTTGCTGTATGACGGAAGATCTCTGTGAAGGAGGGGCAAGCGATGGTGCACTCTGAAAGTCTTGAAAGTCATCATCTAGGATCAAAAATGTCATAAACCCAGATGTAATATTATGGAGATCTAAGGATAGATAAGATCATAGACATACCAGCAGTTGCTGACTGCAATATCCCAAAATCGTTCGTAAGTGGTGCTGGATTGGTGTTAAAGCTCGGCGTTTCACCAAAGTCAAACAGATTAACTTCGCTTTTTATTTCCGAATTGACCGGTGACAGTTCTGTTGACTTCTTCGTTGAACTTTGGTCGGAACGCGTAGTATCCTCACCGGGTGATATCTCGTCCGCTGGAGAACCAGATCGATAATCACTTTGCCATTGCGTTTCTGGATCATCATATCTGGTGCGTTCGTCTTGACAATTGCCACCGAATTTAGAAATCGAATTTCAAGATTTTATAACATGCATGTGGTAACTGAAATGCTTACTACTATATGAATATGTGTCACTACTAAATCCACCATATCGTGATCTGCCATATTCGACAGTATCAGAACTGACACCCGTGTACTTAGTTCTATTGGCCCTCGCTTTTTTCCTTTCCTGTCTAATTTTATCTACGTCGCTCAGAAGTTCTGCAAGCTCTCTTGCTCTATTTCGAACTAGCAATGCGATTTAAAAATAAATGAAGAGGTTAGTCTTTGTGCGAGCAACATTTAATGAGACTTTACTTACCATTGATTCCTTGATCTTTTCCCTTTTCATCAATATATGCAAAATTCCGCATCATTTTAATAGTACTCAAGTGAGCCCGTGCATCATCTACTACTCTCTCAGATCCATGCTTAACAAGATATTCAAGCAATTGGAGAGCCTAGTGACGATGAACAAATATGACGTCAATTAGAATTCCAATAATACAATTTATGAGTCAACATAATACCTTGTAAATTTGACGCCACTGTCTAGCTTCCTTCTCTGTGAACCGTTTATATATTGTTGGCATAATCTCATTGAAATGCTGACTTTTAAGAGAGCGCTTAATTAATCCTCTGGACTCTATCACACTACCTTTCTACTTGATGTTTATTAGCAACTCACTAGTTATAAGTGCCTTGCGCAATCTCTTGCATTAAAGTGCTGCTGGCTCCCCAAGGCTCATTATTAGTGGCCTCTCGAACTTTGGCCTCCATCTCGGTGTAGTTCATTACTACATTTTTTCTGAAAGAGTAAATGAGTCGGTTAAAAATCTTTCCTATATAAATATTTATTTGAAACCATCCGATTTGTGAACGTACACTTTATTGAACACATCTTTAACATCCCACAATGTTAAACTATTAAGTTGGTCCATGATTTCCCAAATTCATTCAACAGCCACGCTAACGGTATAGAAATATCATTCAAGTAGTCATTGTATCACCTACGAGTATTGTATTACCAAAGTGTTTATTTTTGATTGGTTTATTATTCGAAGGTCAAAAAAAATATTTTATTCTGTTTTTTGTAACTATACTTATATTTTTTTAAAGAAAATTTTAAATGAATGATTATATGGTTTTGTTACTTGATAGAGAGATACTATTGAATTTATTTAATAATTTCTTTTTTTAAAAAAAAATTGTGAATTTACTAATTAATTAAAGTATATAATATTGTTAAATTACTATTTTAATCTAACTATTCTTTTAATTCATATATCATTATTAATAAATTATTATTATTAATTATCCTTTTTTTTTTTTTTTGAGTACCCGTAGCCAAGCTAGATTGTCAGTTTATTAATCAATTGAAAACATAAGTACATTTTCATTTGAGCAGCATAATATATACTATAATTAAACTATTATTCTGATTTAACTAACTCATTATAAGCATAAAAATCTCTAAGTTTAACCTTGGGAACAATATTTTGCTCCACAGTGTCTTTGAATAAAAACCCTCCTAGTCCACTGCATCATTGTCAGCAGGTTGTCACTATCATATGTCATATCAAGTCACTGGAATATAAAAAGTTACAAAAGGATAGATTGAAAAAGTGAAAGGAAATATCTAAAAATGTTTAAGCAGATAACAAGAAAATAAAAGAGTAAAAGTTAAAAAAAATATTTTCAGCTTCCTCCAAAGACCTGTTTTTCAAGACCTCTTCTCAATAAGAAATGCTTGATTGGGATATTCTTTCTTTTCCTGATTATCTGAGAAACTTATCTATTCTTAATCTTAATTTCTTTCTTATGTATTATCTAAGAAGACTTATCACCTAATGGGAACCTTTACTTCCAGGACACACTTGGTTCCAACCTTCTTTGAGCAGTGGTTTTTTATCCATCTGTAATAGAGAGATGATTTATGATAGACTCCAGGTTCTTATGTAACCTAATAAAGACTAAATCATATTATTTCAGTATAATATCTTCTAGCAACCATACCTAATTAAAGGAATTTTACTGATATATATCTTCCATTATTCAAAAGGTCAGATTCTCTAATAATTCTTTTGCCTTGTAATAATAGGAAGGTCTCAAGAATAATAGAAATCACTATTATTAATTATCCTATTTTTTTTTTTTTTTTTAACCCTCTGTCAGGTTAGTTAAGTATACTTTATTAAACATTTGTAAGCTGTATATATTAAATAAAGCGCTAAAGTTAAATCTCTAACTAACTCACTTGTTTTGGTTATATTATCTCTCTAAGTGCAACTTCGGGAGTGATTTATCGCTCTGTTAGAGGTTCAGGTGAAGACCCTTCCAACTTCTAACATCATTGCCCGCAGGTCACTACTGCAGATCACTCTTTTGA